TGATGATATTCATATTAAATGTTGTTATTTGTTCTTTTTAATATGGCTTGTTTTCTACCACCCAAGTAGTGGACAAGTTGTTCGTTGTTTAGCTAAACATTGTAAATGATGTTGGAGAAAAACTCAAAATACATTCTTATATCATCTACAAACAAGCTTGAATTAAAAATCAAATTGGGATAACATTTTGTTTTATTGTTTATTCATTTCATAGCACATGATTATTCAAGGTGGTTAATAGTTAACATGATTTTCTGCATGAAAAATTAATAAAACCTTAAATGGTATGTTTGTTAAAAAATAATCTCGCTGGTCCATTCCTCACTCCTATATTAATGTTTCGGTTTGAGCTTTTATATATAGCTTATGTGGCGAACTGTCTAGCAAAATTTAAGGTCATTAGTAGTAAATTTTATATGAATTTATAAAAACTTACCTAATTCAGTAAACAAGTTTCATCAATAAAAAACTAAATTGAGATAACAGGTTTTTTTTTTCATAGACACGTGATTATAGTCAAGTCCCAGTCCTCTTTTAAGATTGAAGGTGATTAGTTGGTATGTTTCATCATGAAAGTCAAAGTACAGGTGCTTTTGGATCTTTTTTATTGATGATTTTTGCACGCGAGTGAAGGATTTGCCCGCGCGCGGCTGAAAGGTCCTAATATAGCTAGAGAGGGATTGAATAACCTATTTAAAAATCTACAAACCAACTAGAGCAATTTAATTAATATGACAAATAGCGAAATGCAAACTTGCTCTAGCTCTACAAGGGTTGCAAGCCACATATCCAACAATTCTAGTTACTATGATCACTGGACACACAATTTGCTAAGTCACTACTCACTAAGAGCTTTCACACTTGCTAGACTAAAGAGCTCCACTAGATGAACTTAAGCTATAAAGCAAGCTCTCAATTCTAGCTACACTAAAGAACTTGCTACAACTAGTTTGCGGGTATGTAAATGAGAAAGTAAGGTGGTTATACCGCTGTGTAGAGGAGTGAACCAATCACTTGATGAATACTAAATCAATCACCGAGAGAATACCAATGGGCAAGAGACAACCAATTTTTCTCCCGAGGTTCACGTGCTTGCCGGCACGCTAGTCCCCGTTGTGTCGACCAACACTTTGTGGTTCGACGGCTAAGAGGTGTTGCACGAACCTCGTCCACACAATTGGACACCGCAAGAATCTACCCACAAGTGAGGTAACTCAATGACACGAGCAATCCACTAGTGTTACCTTTCGACGCTCCATCGGGGAAGGCACAAAGACCTCTCACAATCACCGCGATTGGAGCCGGAGACAATCACCAACCTCTGCCCGACGATCCTCGCTGCTTCGAGCCGTCTAGGTGGCGGTAACCACCAAGAGTAACAAGTGAATCCCGTAGCGAAACACGAACACTAAGTGTCTTTAGATGCAATCACTCAAGCAATACACTTGGATTCTCTCCTAATCTCACAAAGATGTTGAATCAATGATGAAGATGAGTGGGAGAGCTTTGGCTAAGCTCAAAAGGTTGCTATGTCAATGCAAATGACCAAGAGAGTGAGCTTGAGCTGGCCATGGGGCTTAAATAGAGAGCCCCCACGAATAGAGCCGTTGGCTCTCTGTTCCCTGATAAATCGGGGCAACCGGACGCACCGGTCGGTTTGACCGGACGCAAGACCCCAGCGTCTGGTCCTCAGATATTCGACACGTGTCCTCGACTTCAAATGCTGATCGCCGATCTCAACGGTCATTAGTGCACTTAAGTTGTGACCGAACGCGCTACTTGAAGTGACCGAACGCTCCAACATTGGAGTCCGGTCGATTCCACTAAGGTTTTATTCACGACCGGACGAGCTATTCAAAGTGACCAGATGCACCATCACTGGCGTCCGGTCGTTTTCAGTAAGGTTCTAGAGACAAATTTTCGCGACCGGACGCGTCCGGTGGCATATGACTGGACCCAGATCAGCGTCCGGTCAACACAGTCTCTCTCTTGCTTGCGTCAGCGTTCGTCACTAGGTGACCGGACGCACCCCCTGCGCGTTCGGTCCCTTTTTCACTTCAGCGTCCGGTCAAAGGACCGAGGGCGTCCTTCACTGCGCGCCACTGACTGAACGTAGGGTCAGAGTCCGGTCACTGTCCAAGGCAGAGTCCGGTCAGTACAAAACTTCTCATTTTGACCTGAACTTCACCACCCTTGATCAAATATGCCAACCACCAAGTGTATCACCTTGTGCACATGTGTTAGCATATTTTCACAAATGTTTTCAAGGGAGTTAGCACTCCACTAGATCATAAATGCATATGCAATGAGTTAGAGCATCTAGTGGCACTTTGATAACCGCATTTCGATACGAGTTTCACCCCTCTTAATAGTATGGCTATCGATCCTAAATGTGATCACACTCTCTAAGTGTCTCGATCACTAAACCAAAAAGCTTCTATTAATTTCACATTTGCCTTGAGCTTTTTGTTCTTCTTTCATCTTTTCCAAGTCCAAGCATTTGATCATCACAATGCTATCACCATAATGTCATGATCTTTATTAGCTTCATCACTTGGGGTAGTGCTACCTATCTCATAATCACTTTGATAAACTAGATTAGCACTTAGGGTTTTATCAATTCACCAAACCAAACTAGAGCTTTTAGCGGCGGGGCACCATGGCACGAGTGGGCAGGCGTCGTTGGAACCGAAAAAAATATTTCGCTGAGCACTGCGGATACGGATAGTATCCAGTTCCACATCCAGCGTGAATTCGGATATCCTAATCCGGATTTATAATTTGAACATGAATACATCAATTTAGACATCCATATCAAAATGAATACGAATACAAATGTCCATATTTAAATAAAATCCAATACGGATATCAGATATTTCGAATATTTTGCAATTCGAATCCATCCTCAGTGGGAGCGGAATTTTGGGTCGGATTGGCGGCAAACAAAGTGGGAGACAAGAAATTAGTTAAAACCGCTCAGAAACACACTTTGGATGATTCTAAAATTATTTATTTTTTTATTATGTATATAATTTAAATAATGAAATGTAATTAAATTATTACACCATAAATTAATAAATATAATAAAAAAATTAACTTGAAACCCCTTAGAAACACACTACCTGGAGTTGAAGTCTCTCCATTTTGTCAACTGGGCTATTATATGGTTGGTGTTTGCTTTGGCTATACATGGCATTCATGCCAACCGATTGTTCTCTTTCATTAGTACTAAAAGATACCCCGCACGTTGCAGCGGAGATTGCAAAGAATTTGGAATAAAAGATCCATTGGGTGAGATTGAGATGTTGTATAGTTGATTTGCATCTCGTAGCACTAGTTGAGAATAACGCGCGGCTTTTTGTTTATCTTGTTACTCTTGGTGTGATTGCTATCATCTAGCCAGCTTGGAGTTGATTGAGATTATCGAGCACCGCGTGGTGATTGTGTGGACGCTCCGATCAAGCTTGTGAGATCCTGATGATTTTTCATCCTTGCTATTTGCTTGTGCTTTTACATCCTTGTTATTTTCTTCTGTAGTTATAGTTGGTAGAAATGGCTAGTTTAGCTAGACGAGTAATGTTAGACTCTTTGTTTGATTGAGTGCTTCAGTAGTTGTTGTAGGCTTGCTACTAGACTTGTGTAGCACTACTACACTAAAGATTTGTAGGGGCAGCTCAAACAGGTTTATAGGGGCGGTTTGGCCAGACTTGTGTAGCACTACTACACTAAAGATTTGTAGGGGCAGCTCAAATACGTTTATAGGGGCGGTTTGGCCAGCCGCCCCTACCATCCTGTTGCTACAAAATCATAGATTTATAGGGACGGTTGGCCAACCGTCCATGCAAATTATTTTTCAGAAATCATGGTTCTAATTAAAAAATAGCAAATTTTTTAACTCGAGGAGGCCCCCACTGGTCGGTCACCCCTACAAATCTTGAGCCGCTCCACAAGTCGCGGCATTTTTAATGGATTTTAGTTCCCGCGTATTATTCTAAACCGAGTTTAAATTGATTGTTTGAGGCCCTAAACGATTTCAAATGAAAAATTTGTCAACGGTAAAGTTTCATAACTTTTTAACTTTTCGAGGCCTATAACTTTTATTTTGGTAGTTTTTCCATTGATGTTGTTTACAAAATTTGAATTTCAAATTTAAGAAATTCAAACGTAGTTCTCCTTGATAAGATGATTTCAAATCAAAAAGTTATAAACTATAAAGTTTCATAACTTTTTGAGATCTGCAACTTTTGTTTTTGCTGTTTGTCCATCCGAGGTCATTTAAAAATTTCAATTTTTATTTTTTTTGAAATTCAAACATAGTTTTCCTTCACAAGATGATTTCAAATTAAAAAGTTATCACCTACAAAGTTTCCTACCTTTTTGGAAACTACAACTTTCATTTTGGTTGTTTCTCGATCAAGATCGATCGAAAAATCCAACACTAAGCATCGTCGTCGGCGTTCGCGCCCAGGCTGCTCAGGAGCGACGTCACGACGTCGCCCATGCTGCAGTTGCTCGCCATGAACACCACCAGCTTCGCCACGCGGTCCATTGGCAGTGGCAGCTTCCGGTTGCTGATTGCTGTGACGCCTGGAAGGTTCTGGGTTTCGTTATTAGCTTGGAAATGGCTGGCTGATGATGATGTGGTTTCTTGTGTTGTGCTGGGCATGCCGCCATGGTTTGCCTTTTATAGGCTGCTGGGAAATATTTGCACGTACCTACTTGCTGTGGATTATTATTAAGATTCTTGCACGTGCCGACTAGCTACTCCTTGCTGTGGATTAAGATTCTGGAAACCTTTTTCTGTAGTACTAAGCAAGTGTTATCACCTAAACATGTCAACATGCATGCATGTGTGACTTAGACTTGTTAGCTTATATAACTGACAAGTGGTTCTTCAAGGAGGCTATGCCAAAACTTAAAGCTCACTAGTGTAGAAACATTTTTTTTACATATAACTAAAAAGTCGATTTCTTGAGGCTCTAACCAAAAGGCATGTGAAAATGGGTGGGTGGGCCACCCTGGGCCGTTGGCCGGGCTCCCCCGCTACTTACCCTTTAGGCCCAAAGGCCCAGAACAGAGCAAAAGAGGCCAGCGCTGAGGGGCGCCGCCGTGACTTCGGCTCCCAGGCATCACGGAGCTGCGAGCGCTCCAGGTTGCGGCGCGGTGCGGAGATGGGATGGGAGACCGAGGAGGCGCCATTACTCCATGGCGGGGAGGCCGAAGCGACGCTCTATGCGCCGACCTCAACCCCAATCGGATCCCAGGTCAGCCCCAATCCTCCTTCATTGTATCTCTGTCCTTTCTCTTTTCCAATCCCAACTATGGCTGGCGCCTGGCGGTGGCCGGTGGCCGGTGGTCGGAGTCCGGCTAGGCCAGTGGGCGACTAGCGGCAGCAGCGGACAAGGCACAAGCGCCGCCCTGCTGCCCTGCTGTGTTCGACAGCGCCTAGATTGAGCAAAAATTGCAAATGGTAGAGAGGAGGAGGCTGAGCCAACCAGGTAATTTGACTAATTTCAATTATCTAATATGCAGAGGTTAAATTTGATGGATAATCTATGACCTTGCCGTTACGAATGTGTATTTCTTATATGTTTTATTTAGGGATGAGGCGTTTTTTGGTTGATAGAAGGACCTGCCCTGATGCTGGTGGAAGCAATGAACTTGAAACACATCCAAATATAGAAGAGCCACATGAAGCTCCAGGTCATCCGGGACCAGAACCAACCATGGACAATTTCACCAGTGAGTTTGATCCTAATGAAATCGTATGTGATCCAGCTCTTAGAAAACAAATATATGAGTATGCACCTGAAATTCAAGACCAAGTTAGGAGAGCATATATATTGAAAGGTCCATCACAACCAACAAATATATTGAAAGATCCAGGTTCAAGGGCTTTTCTTTGGGTTGGTATAAGAAATATAATTGGTTAGAATATAGTGAATCCAAAGATGCTGGTTATTGCTTATTGCTTCCAAGCAGCCGGGGAGGGCACAACATTTTGGTTATGATGTATTTAACAAAACTGGTTGGAGAGATTGGAAACATGCATACAAAGCATTACCTGAACATGTTGGTGGTGTAGGTAGTGCTCACAACAAGTGTGTTCAGAAATATGGTGACTTTAAAAATCAAAGACAGAGTGTGCAGAGAGTATTAAAAAGAGCTAGCAAACAATCGGAGGAATTATACCAAACTCGTTTAACTTCTACTTTACGATGTTCAAGATATCTCTTAAAGCAAGGCCTAGCTTTTCATGGGCATGATGAATCTTCTTCCTCTTTGAACAAAGGCAATCTTCGAGAGTTGATTGATTTTCTAAAAGACAACAATGAAGAAGTTAGGAATGCCTATGATCGAGGTGGTTTAAATTGTAAGATGACTTCCCCAGATATCCAAAAGGATCTTGCAAGGTGTTGTGCAGAAGAAATAACTGAAGCAATTATGGAAGAGATTGGTAATAGGCCATTTTCTGTTCTCATTGACGAATCACGTGATATATCAGTAAAAAAACAAATGGCTGTTATTTTAAGGTTAGTAACTAGTATATTGTGTCAGTTCTATTAAGTTGTCTAATTCTGTACAATATTCAGTTTTATTAGTGTTTTTTTTAAATGGTGTACTACTGCAGGTATGTGAATTCTAAAGGGATTGTTGTTGAAAGATTTCTTGCTCTTGTACATGTCAAAGAGACTACAGCCGATGCATTGAAGGAAGCATTGCTTGCTGTCCTTGATAGGAACAAGCTATCAGTTTCTCGGATACGAGGGCAAGGATATGACGGGGCTTCTAATATGAGAGGTGAATTTAATGGACTGCGGTGTATTGAAAACTGGCGAGGTATCTACAGAAAATGGAGTATTGAAACTGGCGAGGTATCTACAGGAAGAGGCTTGAATCAAGAAACTATCCTTGCTAGGCCTGGGGATACTAGATGGGGTTCACGTCATGTTACTTTGGTTCGCTTGTCCCAAATGTGGGACTCAGTGATAAAGGTACTTCAAATAGTTCATGAAGATGGACAAGTGCCAAATCAAGCAGCTGGTTTGATACAGAAAATGGAGTGCTTTGAATTTGTTTTTATTATGGTGCTTATGTTAAAGGTTCTTGGCATCACAAATGAGCTCTCACGTGCCTTACAAACAAAAGGTCTCAATATTGTTAATGCTCTTGAGGTTAGTTCTTATTCAGTTGTTCCCTTTCTTACAATATTGGTTTTCTTATTCAGCTATTTCCTTTTGCTATTAATTTGACTGCACTTATATAATTCAATTGTAGCTTATCCATGATGTCAAAGCTCAGTTTAACACCATGAAAGAAAGTGGCTGGGATAACTTATTTGATGAGGCAAGACAATTTTGTGATTTGAATGATATTCCTATTCCAAATATGGCTGAGGAAATACCAGTGAGAGGTCGTTCAAGGCGTGATGGATTTACTGTTACTAATCTTCATCATTATCATGTTGGGATTTTCTACGTTGTTCTTGATAAAATATGTGCTGAGATGAATCATCGGTTCACTGAAGCGACGATGGAGCTATTGATGTGCTTTTCTTGTCTTGATCCAAAGAACTCTTTCTCTAGTTTTGATGTCAACAGTCTTGCTCGGCTTTCTGAAATTTATGCTGAGGATTTCTCAAATCATGATCGTGGAGTCATAAGGGGACAATTGGAGACATATATTCTTCATGTAAGGAGGCATGCTGCCTTTGCTAATTGCAAAGATATTGAAAGTTTCTCCCAGAAAATGGTTGAAACTGAAAACATTTGCTTTTTCCATTGGTCTACAAGCTCATTGAATTGGCCTTGTTGGTGCCGGTGTCAGCAGCAACTGTTGAAAGGGCTTTCTCATGTATGAAGACTATCAAGTCTAAATCCCGCAATAGGATTGTTGATGATTGGTTCAACAACTTTATGATATGCTATATTGAGCGAGAACTATTCAATTCACTTGATGAAACTACTATTATTTGGCGGTTTCAAAACTTGAAGAGTCGCAGGATGCAGCTGCCTTGTAACCATGCTCGTGGCCGTGGGCATCCGTAGTTACCAATTAGCATTTAGGTTTATCTTTTGTGTTTCATTATCTAAGTCGTGAACTTGTGTACTGAAAAATCATTTTAATATTTTAATTTGAATCTATCATGGTTTCCTAATTTTATATGTATGTTATATAATATATTCATGTGCATTGCTTGTCACTGTTAGCTCGGCGTATTGTCACGCCCAGGCTCTCGAAAATTCCTGGCTCCACCACTGTGGGTGGGCAACCGTCTCTACAAATATATTTTTGGAGGCTTGAGGTGGTGGACTTGAGCTATTTGTCTCTAAAAATTGTTTCCATTCAACTCGGGATGTGTTGCTTTGCACGTGGCCTCTTTACCCATGTTTGGTCCATTGAATGATGTCAAATGAAAAACTAGACTAGAAACTTTTAGAACTTGTTGAGATGTAAAATTGTCACATAAAGTTTATATTTATCTAACTATAATTCGTTAGGTCTTCATCTAGCCTCCCTCTGCTACATCCATACCGGCCAAGAAGACCGTCGCACCCTACCACAAGGCTCACCCTCTATCATAGCCTCCAAGCTTGGCAAAGCCGCATCAACACGAGGTGCATATCAACACCCGATTGGACCGTAATGAGACCCAAGCATAGATTATGGGCGTAAAAATGCATTTTTTGAGAGTACAAATATACTGGAATGATACAACCACACAAGTTTAAGTACCACTCGTGGACTTTTTTGCATCCTTCTTGTTCTAGATGTGGTCTCTACAAAGAGTGCTATTTTAAGAACATCATGGAGGACGTAAGTGATTCCCTGAACACAGGGTGGGGCAAATTGTACATGGAGTCTAGAAGATACTATATAGGGTATCCCACAGACATGATACACAAGACACAGATAAACATCACATCCCTAGATTTTGGGAGACCTCTTTGTAATAAGACTAGAAAACAAATCCTAGCTAGAATGGAAGGAAAACAAATCCTAGCTAGAATGGAAGGAAAACCAATCTATAACCCAGCTTTCGGACAATATAAGGAAGGTATAGGTATCCCTTCCCTACACCTATACTAGGTGACATACACCTTAGATGTCTCAATATCATCAATCTCACGTAAGGCAAACAAAAGCAATATAACCACAAACATAGGACATAGGGTATTACATCCTCATTAGTGTCCAAAGCTATCTAAACTTTGTGTCTCATGTGTTAGCTACCATCTTGTTCTCTACCACACAATACCCATAAACATTGCCAATAATAAAAACACCAACAGTGTCCCTATCATACAGGTCAGTTCCATGCAGACGTTGATATTGGTTTCTATGATACACTGGTGTACCTAAGGCATGGCTACCTTGCCTCTGGCCAAGACACCACTATGGCCGGTCATTGAATAACTCATGTATGGAGAAGATGAGGTCTAATGTGTTGTTGGGTGTATTAAATAACCAGGCTCGTAGTTTAGTTGATTAGGTTCCTTGTGGCTTTCCCACATGGCTTGAGGTTCTCAACTTAGTATAATTGCTCACATTTTTTAGGATTTAAGAGCACTTTTCTTTTAGTAAATAGTGTGTGAGGTGTCTATCGAAAGTGATGACTTCGTCAAACTTGAGATCTGTCAGCTTAGTGTTTCAAAGATGCTCACAGGAATATGATGTGGTTCATAGGAGTATGGAGTCCAACATGTTTGTAAGTGTTTGTACTCATAGGCGTGAGGTAGGAGTGAGTGTTTCTAGTGCGATGAAAATCACCTAGTTCCAAAAATACTATTAGGTAGCGAATTGAGCTCAATTGCTTGGGTTCTTTAATTTGTGGCAGAACTTCCTACATGGGTTCAAGTTTCTGCCTCAACGCAGGGGCTCGCATTTTTTATCTAAGGTTTAAGTATTTTTCTTGACATGAGTGCTCGCATTATCTAGATTTATACCAGGGGTGCGTGGCGTTGGATGTGTACTCCAGGATTTATTCCTCGATCACCAATTTTGGCATCTGCTGAATCAGTCTTTCGAAAGTCATATGAGATGTGCAAACGTGCTGTGATTCGCAGGAAATAAAAGACTATTGGGTCAGTTACTGTTGTAGTTTCGTGGCACACATGCACGCATAACATAAAGCATCCAATTGCTCGTTTACTGCTGACCTGCAGAGCAGGCTGCTTGTGCTTTCTTTGCTCCTTATCGGAATCGGTCCGCTTCTCGGTCGGCCATCCGGATATCGCCGTGTCTCAAGATGCGACGATGATTTTAATAAAAAAAGAAAAAAACTGCGACGCCACGATCAGACCACGGCGAGGCGCTCTGGTATATCGCAATCTCGGGTTTCTTGGATTAGCTAGGATCGATGTGTATCTTTTATAGAGAGATATTGTTGACGACGCATGGGTGCTGCAGGGCATCTGCATCAATGTCTCGTCATTCATCAACCCTCCAAAAACACGTGTTCGGTGAATCCCCTTGGAGAGGATCGGAAGGGATTGAATGAGGTTAAAGGGAGACTTTAACTTGTAGGAAGTAAAATTTTCTCAATCCCCTTAGATTGAGGATTAACCGAATGAATAAACCCTAAAGTTGGGTCAAACGAGCTAACAGTCTCAATGATGGCTAATAGAACAATGTATTTTGCTCGTGCCATGCAGTACAACCATAACTGCATATCACTGTTAGGCAAACGATTTTTTAATATTGCCATAGATTGTGAAGATGTAGACTTTGTAGAGATGGGTTGTAACAGCCACCTTTTTTTTTTGCAACTAAAATATAGGGCACAAAGGCTAATGTCGCTTTGAGCAATAAGCTAGGTGGGTCCGTCTTCTGGGAAAAAAAAATTCTACCTCCAACCACTATGAGATGTCCTAGCTACCTGCGTTCACGTGAGATGTAAACAGTACCACAGCAGAAAAGTAATGTATTTTATTTCCTTGTGGCTGCACCATAGCCTTGAGGTCGTTTACTGTCTGGTTTTAGTTGGAGACTTTTCTCTGTGTGCCATTATAAAAGATCGAAATCTTCTATGTGCCCCTGAAAAAATGCAGTGGTCTTCAACGTCACTACTCCAATTTTTTCGGGTCCTCCATACCACTTCCGTCAATTAGAGGCTCTACTTTGCAGATCAAGCATGAAGAGTGTGAAAAGGCGAAAATGCCCTTAAGTTCAAATATGTTATTAATTTTTTTGAGCATCTTAACGACTTCAAATGAAAAAACTCAAAACTAGAAAGTTGTAGATCTAATAGAGATCTATAATTTTCATATAAATTTTTTTCATTTAATTTAAAAAAAAAAATGATTTGATATGATTAATATATATCTTAGAAAAATCATCAACTTTTTAGTTTTGAGTTTTTTCATTTGAATAAGATAAATCAAAAAATTTAATAACATATTTGAACTTAAGGACATTTTCGTCTTTTCACACCTGCAGTTTGACGGCGTTAGAGCCTGAACTGACGGAAGTGGCATGGAGGACCCGAAAAAGTTGAAGTAGTGGCACTGAAGACCGCTGAATTTTTCCAGGGGCACACAGAGGATTTCGATCTTTTATAATGGCACACAGAGAAAAGTCTCTTTTAGTTGTGGCTGCAGGCCGCAACGGCCGTTCGGCTTAACTTATAACCCATACTATTCAGCTTATTTTTTTTAGTTAGGATATTATTTTTCTCTCACAATAATTCAGTCAGAACAGTATTTTCAGCAAATTTAGCTAAGTTTCAACAAGCCGAAGGGAACCGATGCTTGTGGCACATTCCTGTAGCAGCATTTAATGCCTAAGGTTACCTTTTTTATGCACATTGTGGGTGCCCTTAGCGTTTTAATTCTTTCTATACCACTGCTGTTAGCACAGCTACCTCAGCTCTCTCCACCGTCATTACCTAGGTGGTTGTCATATATTTTTTTTTTGCCTCGAGGTTCAGTGGCCACCTATGTCCCTGTTGAGGCGTGCCCATGATCACCTCCCTCCGTGAGCTCAAAGATCCCTCAAGATCATCTCCTATGTGAGCGCTTGCTCAATCACGAGGTACACCACAAGCCTCAATACCATTATAGTTGCTCTTTACTAGGGATGAAAACGGATCGGATACGAACGGATATCACTCATATTATATTTATTTTCATATTTCTGTTCGGAATCGGATTCGGACACGGATATCGTTCGTATACATATACGAATACGGATCGATTCGGTTACGGATACGAATAATGAGTATCGAATACGGTATGAATCGGATTCGGAGAAGGTCGGATACAAATATCTATTCGGATATTGAGTAAAAGCAGCATATATATATATATATATATATCATACGTGCGCAAACCATTACACCACTCTATGAGTCCATAATCCATCTAGATTAAGCCGAAAGACTAAAGAGTAAAGCAACAAATAAGATAAAGATACAGATACATCATACATCAAACATCATACAAGCACCAATCTTCGCGGCATGAGTAGAAATAGCCAAGCTCATGGCTTCATGGGTCTCATGGAGTCATGGTCATGGATTCAAGATCTACAATCCTTATATATGCCATTTTTTTCATTTGAGAAAGTTTGAACAAAATGTAGTTCAAATTTCACAAGTGTGTGACATAGTTTTAGAAAGTCTGTATGAGATTCAAGAATTTGTGACTAGTGTTTGATAAAACTTTCTCAAATGGGAAAATGAGCTATGTAACAATTGTAGATCTTGCTGAGATGATCAAACTTGGTATTCAGAGTTTTTTCATCTGAGGTCATTTAGTGTCTCATTTGAGCAAGTTTGACCAAGTCAAATTTGGTCAAATGAAAAAACAACACTTTGACTCTAGTATTATGAACTCTAAATGACTTCAAATTGAAAAGTTTTGAATACCAAGTTTGTTCAACTCATCAAGATTTACAATTCTTGTTTTGGTCAACTTTCCATTTGAGATAGTTTGGACGGTTCAAATTTGTGATTTTTAAATTTCAATGCTTACAAACTAGTTTTCGGAACCCTAGATTGTCTCAAATTGAAAAGTTTTGAATACCAAGTTTGTTCAGCTCATCAAGATCTACAATCCTTATATAGGATATTTTTTCATTTGAGAAAGTTTAAACAAAATGTAATTCAAATTTCACAAGTGTGTGACATAGTTTGTAGCGCCTATATGAGATTCAAGAATTTGTGACTAGTGTTTGATAAAACTTTCTCAAATGGGAAAATGAGCTATGTAACAATTGTATATCTTGCTGAGATGATCAAACTTGGTATTCAGAGTTTTTTCATCTGAGGTCATTTAGTGTCCCATTTGAGCAAGTTTGACCAAGTCAAATTTGGTCAAATGAAAAAACAACACTTTGACTCTAGTATTATGAACTCTAAATGACTTCAAATTGAAAAGTTTTGAATACCAAGTTTGTTCAACTCATCAAGATCTACAATTGTTGTTTTGGTCAACTTTCCATTTTGAGATAGTTTGGACGGTTCAAATTTGTGATTTTTAAATTTCGACGTTTACAAACTAGTTTTCGGAACCCTAGATTGTCTCAAATTGAAATGTTTTGAATACCAAATTTGTTCATCTCATCAAGATCTACAATCCTTATATAGGCCATTTTTTCATTTGATAAAGTTTGAACAAAATATAGTTCAAATTTCACAAGTGTGTGACATAGTTTCAGAAAGTCTATATGAGATTGAAGAATTTATGACTAGTGTTTGATAAAACTTTCTCAAATGGGAAAATGAGCTATGTAACAATTGTAGATATTGCTGAGATGATCAAACTTGGTATTCAGAGTTTTTTCATCTGAGGTCATTTAGTGTCTCATTTGAGCAAGTTTGACCGAGTCAAATTTGGTCAAATAAAAAAACAACACTTTGACTCTAGTATTATGAACTCTAAATGACTTCAAATTGAAAAGTTTTGAATACCAAGTTTGTTCAACTCATCAAGATCTACAATTGTTGTTTTGGTCAACTTTCCATTTGAGATAGTTTGGATGGTTCAAATTTGTGATTTTTAAATTTTAACGCCTATAAACTAGTTTTCCATTTGAGAAAGTTTGGACGGTTTAAATTTTGAAGCACTAAATGATTTCAAACAAAAAAGTTGTAAACAACAAAGTATCATAACTTTTTGAGATCTACAATTTTTATTTTGATCATTTCTCTATCCAAGGTCGTTTGAATAATATCCGGATAATATCCGTTTTTAAATATCCGGATATATCCGATACTTAACCGGATTATCCGATATCCGCCGGATATCGATGATATTACATCCGTATTTGATATCCGCCTAAGATATCCGTTTTAGTATTCGTATCTGAAAAAAATTACGAATATCCGAGTAACTATCCAGATAAATATTCATATTTGTTCGGTTGAACGGACGGTCGAATAAATATCCGTACCGTTTTCATCCATACTCTTTACGTTGCCTGCGGGGATGAGCACAAAAGCCCCGAACAAATCCTCCTTCAGAACACAAGAAAAAAAAACGTGGGAGTAGTTTTGAGTGAAAACGGAGGCGGCATTTTTATTTATTCCATTACAAGCACAGGGCACAAAAAAAACCTGGCATTCGTCACACACTCTTCTACATCGATTCCTTTCCCATTTTTTTCGTTCTTACCGTACGTCCTTTTTATTCACATGTACACACACCTGATGGAAAAAGCTCACCAGCCATGCTTGCATGCGCGCAGTCCGCCGATAGACGTTTTCATCAATTCCTACAACCAGAGCGCGCCGGCGTTCCTGAGCATGGGCACGAGCTCGCCGGAGAGGTGCAGCGCCATGACCCTGTTGGTCCCGCCGATGAGGTCGCCGCCCACGAACACCACCGGCACGGTGGGGGTGCCGGCGCCGGCGCCGAGCCTCCTGGCCAGCTCCCGCTCCATCTCCATGCCTCGGGGGTCCCTGTCCAGATCGTGCACCGCCGCGTTCACGCCCAGGCTGCTCAGCAACGACGTCACGACGTCGCCCATGCTGCAGTTGCTCGCCGTGAACACCACCACCGCGCGCTCCGACGCCAGCCTCGCCACGTGGTCCATTGCCATCGTCGATCTGCTGCTTGTTTACCGCACCCGGACCGGAAGGTTCTAGAGGCTTCTAGTCCCCCTCTCCTTGGGTGCTGAGATGATTTCGAAGGTGATGTGGTTTCTTGCTTCTACTGGCCATGGGACGGCTTGCCTTTTATAGGCTGGAAAAAGGTGTTGGATTGTTGGTACGTGGTACCTACTTGCATTGGATTAAGATTCTATTCTTGACAACTAACTGATAGCATTTGCTGAATGTGTTATATTATAATATGTGCAAATGGAACATGTATAGCTAGATTTGGTTCTTCTATATATAAATGAATCCATGTCTGTGTTCAAGCATGAGGGCCCTGGGAACATTGGAATCGCTCTCTCTCTCTCCCCTCATGACTCACGAGTCGACCACAGACAAAATTTGCAATATTATATCACGAATCTGAAAAACCATAAGGATCTTTTCAAAAGCATGGCTCATAAGGATAGAGCTGTATAGATATATGGGGATTTTCTTCGGTCATAGTTTATACGCAAAACAATCTTCAAAGAATATTAACACTTGCACTTATATTTTCACATACTGACCAAGTACACAGGTTAAAGATACTAGTCATATATGCCTTTTTTCAGAGAAATACTAGTAATATATGGTTGACAAGCTGAAAAGAAGTCAATTTTCTTCTACTGTTGTTCGTAGTCTGTGAAACTTGCAATAAATGAAAAAAAAACTTTGATGGAATGCAAGCTATTTCCTTGTATCATATATTTAGTCATTGTTAAATGCTGTTCCGTTCTGTGAAAGTCTCGTTGTCTGAATGTTGTCCTGCATGTAAATTGAGAGTTGAGACCGCTGACTCCTACTGTAAATACACAAGTCCATACAGAAAGCAAAGGTGCCGACAACAACACGGCGACGTTTCGTCACATGACAATATGACAGCAGGATCTGATTCCTCTGGCTAAGAGCAGGCACTCTGTATTGGAGGGATCAGGCTCCTGAATCCTGATCTTCAGGTTCAGAATAGCATCTTCAGACAGAGAACCTACCGTCTCTGCGTCTCATTCAGTCCCTCACACAAAGTCACACTCACACTCTCTCTCTCTTCTTACCTTATCCGCAGTGGCAGAATCTCCCCCATTTGCTATCTGTAATTCCTTTGAATAGTTACACCATACTTGGTGAGTAAATCATTAGTCAAGACACTTGTCTGATAATTCTGCTCAATTTGCTATATTTTGTTCTCTGAAGCTTTTTCACCACAGCAACATCTTTATCAGATATGCAGGCATTGCCTTGCCAGTGCCACAGTGCTGCACAGCCTTGCATTGCGTATCAGCAAGGCCATGCTGTGTAACTGACGCTATGGAACAGTCGCCGTTGATATGCTGCAATGGTTCTTCTGATATTCTCACGTATGATGCAAACCCCCCAGGACAAGACCATGGCAATGGAGAATGTGGATAGACATGTATCCTTATCCTCAAGATCTACCCTGGCAGTGCTGATTATCTGTAGAACTTTGCATCTTGAGATTCCTTCCTGAGTCTGATCAGTTCTTGGCTCCTCGTGTTTGCAAAGGGCTACGTGCATTGATCTACAAAAGCATATCTGAAACAAAGGTAAAGGTGAGGTGCAATGGAGAGGGAAAATTCTGGAAATATCTTACAAAGAATCCCATGTTATATAGTTTTATAACATGTAGCCAAACAAGGGGTGCCACCAAATATATCCATCACATAAGCGCACACAATGTTATAGATTACATATACAATTCTCACTTCATACGCTGAGAGAAAATACACAAATTGTCAGGTAGTGAGTAAATACCAAATAAGGAGTACCATCAAATCATCCAATTAAATCCTGTTACATTTCACACACATACATAAATCAATGAAGGTTTGCAAGGGGCTGCATTCTTTGATCTGCAAAAGCAAATGCATACCTGAAATGATGGTAAAGGTGAGGTGCAATGCCGTGAAAAAAAATCTGGAAATATCTCTGGTAGCAACACCATGAGGGAATGACCAAACAAGGAGTACCATCTAATACTTGCATTACTTAGCAATATATGGTATTATTTATATACATGAATTGAATTGTGCGGACAATCTTATGGAGCTTACATGTACAATTCTCACTCGAGCAAAGGGGGCATATTTAAAAGGTGAGCCTCTCCTTATCCTCTGGAGAGCTCTGGGAGCGCTCAGTATTTCATGAGCTGTACACCAAATGAAAATGAAAATACTGTACAGGGGTGTATTTCATGGCAGACAAAGTCACATAGATTCTAGAGTTTCTGGTTCTTCTGGATATCTTGACAAGATGATGGATCCATCAACTTCACGAATGTAGCTGTATACTGAGTTGGCTGCACCAATCACAAATTGACAGGTTCCCCTTGAATCAGCATGTAGTGTGACACCGTAGTACTCAAGATGATCCGCTACGCTCATCCCATAGACCGACCTTTTGAAGCAACGGCAAACAATAAGCAACACATGCAAGAAAATAAATATCCAAAATAGATAGGCAGATACATACCTGCTACAGGTTGGGTCCTCACCAGAATCATCACATAGCGTCTCATTTCTGGTAATTACATTTCCATCTATGCTCTCATGAAGCCAAACCTGAAGATAAATAAATGCAGAAGAAATGGATTAACGGTAACGTGGAGAAGTACGCATCTCTGTAAACTCTTTTTTACTATCGGATACACACCTCTCTAGCAAAGTGGTGGTATGTCCATTCACCTAGGTAATAATAGTACGGTGGTAAATGCGGCACAATATCATTCTGATGGGTCACGCTTGGATTGTTCTTGGGACCTGTCCACCAAAGTATACAGCAAAAGCAGGATTGCCTATCCGAGGCTGTCCAAAAGTCATGAGCTCAACCTCCTTTGATCCAAATGTAACCTGTAAAAAGAAAAGGCAAAGATATCATTGAAGCCAGCCATCTGATATATTAACAGTACATGCGATGGTAGTAGAGCATATATTGAAATTTGATGCAATAAACCAAGTACATTAAAAATACTTACAGATAGATCAAGGGCACAAAACGAAGCTAAAGCCCCTCCCATGGAATGTCCCACAACATTTATGGGTAGATTTCCATATGTTTTTCTTGCCCATTTAATAGACTTCAGGATCTCATATCGCATAGTTGTATTATAATATGCAGTATAAAACCCATGATGTACCTAGAACATGAGACAGATAAGCAGCAAGCAAACACAAGTTACTACTAATTCAATGAGAACTCTAAACATCAACAACAATTTGACTAGTGGAGTTACCATAGCATCCGGCATGCCTGGGTATGCCACATCAAGCTGCTTCCAGAAAAGATCTTCGATCCAATTTGAGACACTGTGTAAGTTAAATTCCAAGACATCAAATCAATGAGAAGTGAAGATTGAAAGTGTCATACATCTAATGAGAGGCCCCCAACCCCGAGCTAACGGATCAAGGGAGGCCCTAGGGGCTGCGCGCGCCAGGAGGAGGGGGCGCCATCACCCACGCCGCCGTCATGTTCCGGAAGAGATTAGATTAGGAGGTTTACCATATTAGAGTTTGGTTTGTTATGGAAGGGAGAATCCAATCTAAAAGGATCTCCCGTAGTTGCTTGGGATACAGGTCCAATAGGGACTATATATACAAGGAGGATGTAATCAATCTAATCAAGCAATAGAAGAGCAATTACTCCTTCCCCTACCTCTCCCCTCTCTCCCTCTCCTGCGCTGACTCTCCCTCTCCCTCTCCTCAGCGCCGCCGCCCTCTCCCTGTGTCCCCCCTCTCCCCCCCGCTAAACCCTAGCCGCCACCCACCAAGGCCCCCCCTCCCAACAGGGCTCTTACAGAAAGCTTATAAATAGCTTATGATATTTGATTAAAAGATTACAATTTTATAAGTTGAAAATTGAAACACGTAGCTAAATAACTAGGATAAAAGGTTGATGCACTCAGAGCAAATGCCCATACGTTGAGTCTCGACTCATAATGGAGCATTTTCTGTACCTGTGCTGTTGAGTGCCTCTAAATGCAATGATTATGGATCGAGGGTCAGGCGCAACTCCAACAAATGCCTGCACAATTTTTTAACAAACAATCGAACTTAAGTTTTCATTGAGCACTGAGTGCAAGCAAAAGAGCTTTGCTGAAATAGAAATACATAAATATAGTTAACCTGTAAGCAGTTCTCCACATCTACTATGATCTCTATCACCTCAAAACCCTGCATCAATAATGCAAAAACAGACGATTAAATGCAAGGAACATATAGAACAACTTTCAGAAGCAGAGGAAGCACAGACCTTTGTGTGGCCTTTGCACCTTGGACAGGTCCATAAGAAAAGTGATGTTAAGTCAGATGTGTACACCTGAAACGCATTTACGTAAACCAAGTCTGAAAAAGGACAAAAATGTATTCTGGAGATAGAAACATGGGAATCATTATATATATGCATGCCTATCAAAGAACCATTCAGAGATGCAACAACCAAGAACAGGATAGCTATCAGTGACTGAAAATGCTGCATAGAAATGGGAGGGAACCTTAAAAAGGAAAGGGTGTGAAAGGCAAGTTCCAGAACAGAAATTATCTAGCTAGGCAAGGACAATAGAAAGTTTGGGCAGACTTATGATGAAGTTGCTGTCAACAGAATTAGTATCACACTGTCCAGGAGGAACTTACTGCAGATGCGTATTCGACGAGAATATGAGCAAGAGTATGATTGTAGGAATAACCATCATCACTGTGCTTCAGCCTGATCACTGCATTGGCAAAGAATGGTGTGAAGAGTTTACACCCGATTTACTGGAAGAGCACATAAAAGCACCATAACAGTAAAATAAATCTTCGCGACACTCACAAACTAGAGTTGGGCAATGTGACTACATCCAATCCAATGGCATTACCAATCTGAGAAGCAAACAAGGATAAAACATTACTCTGTTTTCCAAAAATCTACAGCACTGGCATCCCCAAGCACGTGGACAAGAATCACCTTTCCACAATACAGCATCGCTATGCTGAAAATCGCTTGCAGTTGACAATGGGCAAGTAATTGTTGAAGCTTCATCTCAATTAAGCAGAAGTGGATACATCTACTCAAACGGGAGGAGCAGAAGAAGGCCACTGAGGCTTTGCTGTCTTGGATCAAGGCGATAAGCGGAAGTGATATTCTGTTGCCTGATGTGTGCGAAATCTGTAATAGGATTAAGTCTTCTGGTTGCTGAACTTTTCTTTTTTAGCTGGGCCTTGTTCACTTTGCAAATTTTTTGAACTCGATGAATAGTACACTTTCGTCTTATTTGGTAAATATTATCCAATCGTGGACCAACTAGGCTCAAAAGATTCATCTCGTGATTTCCAACTAAACTGTGTAATTAGTTATTTTTTTATCTACATTTAATACTCCATGCAAGCGGCTAAAAATTGATGTGATGGAGAGAGAGTGAAAAAACTTGGAATTTGGATGGCATCTAAACAAGGCCCTGGTATATATCCCCAGCAGTGACGACTTGTAAACATTTGCTTTGAACAAAAGCAGAGATCTTGTCCTTCTAAGAAAAAAGAAGTCGAAGCGGTTGCATCAACTGCGCACACCACTTGACCCACACAGGCCACAGGGCACAGTACGACAATAGTATAGTAAGCACTGTTGAAAAGGTAGTAGCTTCAGAACCTTTCCCCAATCCAAATCCTCCCCACACGAAAAGGCCAAATCGGGAGGTGCAGCAGTCGGCGCACTAGAAGCAAGCTACGCTGCTTCCCAGCGTCGGCCGTCCTCAATTCCTCATCTAATCTAGACCAATCGGCACTACATCCCGTATGTTATGCACTCTGAGGTCTGAGCTTCTCGCGCTGCGCCGGCAAAGCCGCAGCAACCAATCGGCTCCCCGGCCCCTAGTAGCTAATCGCCGTCCCGAGCAACCACGGACCGTCCGGAACCTCTTTTCCTCCAGCACATGGACGGACGGACGGAGCGGGCGACCGGCAGTCGAAACGGGAGGGGGGGAAAGCTCATCGAACTCACCTGTTTCCCCCTGCCCCGCCGCCGCCGCGGTGGGGGAAGAAGCGGAGGCCAGAAGCACCGCGACTAGCAGCAGCAGCGTCGCCGTCCGCCCAAGCCAGGCCATCGCCGTCTCCGTCTCCCTCTCTGGCTCGGCCCCACCCCCACCGGAGGAGACTGGTAAAGAAGAAGAAGAAGAAGACGGCGGCGAGGGGCAACCCACCACACAGAGAAATTCTTCCGAGGGCCGTTCCGTGAAGTTACGGAACAGTTGACAGCGACGGCCCGCGGTTGGGTTACCGTTACCGCGTCGGCTAACACCCAACCATACGCAGCCACGCGTCCCGCGAGAGGGGTTAACGGAATAGCCTGCCCGCTTAGCGTTTTGCAGTTTAGCCCTCGGGTTACCCAGATATGTGAGAGGGAAGGACGAGCAGAGAGAGGAAGGGTCAGGGTCAGAGCCAGTGTCTGGCACGCTAATAGATAAAGAGGTGGAGGGCGCACCTCGAAAACGACCCGGCCGGAGGAGGAGGACGGCACGGCAAGGCTTGCCGTCAACGGCACTGCGGCAGGCCCACATGTCATGCGCACTGCCGGCGGTGGCGTTCGTCTTCGCCAACGGTGGTTGGCTGGCTGCCTTGAAGTGGAAGGGGTTTGGGTTTGCCCGGCGTTCTAGAGAAATGTGGCACCGAGGTCTAAACGTGTGTGCGCTTGCTTTGACCAATCCAGGATTTTTCGTACAAAATTCTGAGAACACGTCCGTGCAAGCAAAGTAGATGGCTAATGGCCTTCCTGGATATTTTAGGGTGTGTTTGGTTGTGTTTCTGGCTAGAGCCTGTTTAGAAAAATAAGCCTGACTAGTTTAAGCCTGTACTCCGTATAGGATAGTATAAGATCCACTTGTTTGGTTCGCCTGTACTAGTTAAGCCTAGCTAGCTAAGATCTTGTTTGATTGGTCGGATTGTTTTGGTACAGGTGACTTTTAGCTACATCACCTCTCAAGTTTGTTCTTCTTGACATTCTATCGAACGGCTACTGCTCACACCGGCTCACTGTCCAACACTTTGCTCGCCGCCACCACCTTGCTCCTCGAGCGCCGACGACCACACCTCCTCAAGCGCCGACGGCCACACCAGTGTGGGGCGGAGCCGCCGGAGAAGCACACCGTGGAGGCGCCCCGAATGGTTGCTGGAGATTCGGTAGGGGCTAGAGCCGAGTATGGTCGCTGGAGATCCGTTGGAAGCTTGGGTGGATTGGTGGCCGACGGGAGCTCGGTACGATTTCGCCGTCGGAGATCTGGCTTGAGCTCGAGCGGAGGAATGGCTGGCGAGATCGAGCACAGAGCGGAGCTCACGTGGTGGCCTCTGTTCCTTAGCGTGCGCCTCTGCTCCCTTGCGTCATCGTCCTCGGTGGTGGTGGAGGCGCCCCTGAATGGTTGCTGGAGATCCGGTAGGGGCTCGAGCCGATTATGGTCGCTGGAGATCCGCGGGGAGGTGAGGAGCACGCCGGGGAGGGAGGTGAGGAGCTCATTGGGGCAGGAAGTGAGGCGGCGCCGGGGCGGGAGGCGAGCAGCTCGCCAGGGTGAGAGGTGAGGTGCTCGGCGTAGGCGGGAGGTGAGGTGCCGGTGTGGGAGGTGAGACGAACGCTAAGCCAAGCTTGGCTCCACGGAAACGACCGAACCCCTCGTTTCCAGTAAGCCTGGCTAAGGGGTGGTGGTTGCATTGCTGAAGCCTGGCTACGAGGCCTTTACAAGCAACCAAACAGCCCCAGCCTGCATTCCTGGAGCCTGGCCAGGAGGTAATGCAGGGAACCAAACAAGCCCATATATATCTAGGCTGCGCTCGTTTAGCATGCACTGCTGATCAGGTTACCAGATTATTATATTAGGCAGGGGCGTAGACAGGATTTGAACATAGGAGGGCCATTCAAACCGGCAATAGTCGTGCTAGACACTAAATGTCAAATGGCAAATAGTCGGTCACTTGTCATTTAGCCATTTTTCGGATAAATTAAAACGGTCACTTAAACGGGCAAAATGGTGGTTTCAATATGTTGAAAGGACGAACCAAACGGAAACAGCGTACCACTATGTGGCGTTTAAATGTTGAGTACACGAGCTAAACGACCGTTTAGACGAACAGTGACAGGAACATAGGAGATAAAGGAAGATAACAGGAAAGCTAATGCTAAATAATATTGATGCCATTATTGGAGGTCAATTTAGAGAGCGAACAAGCAAAGCACTTATTTTCAATTTACTAGCTAATTGGAGAGAGTGGTATGGGGAAAACTAATGTTTGGTAGGCAATAATAAAAATAAAAGAGATGGAGAAAATATCCAGAAAACCTAATTTTGTTTATATAAGGTACTATTGGAGATTAATATGGAGGAAGAACAAAAAAATCATAGTACAATAGTATCATTAACTAGCTAATTAGATAATTAAGTATCTAATTTTGAAAGGGGTATTATTGGAGGTATGGGAAGGTTTGGGGTTGCCAGGCTCCTCTCAGCCCCTCCTTCCCTCAGCCACCAATGCTAGGCTAATTAGGCCAGGCCAATCGCTCCGTGCTGGCTGGAAGCCCTAGCTTCCATGTCAGCGCGCAGCATCCTAATCACTGTCGTTGATGGTTTCACGGACGCTCAGAAGTGCTTGCAGGAGCAATTAGGGCCCCGGCTGATAAAAAGCTAAAGATACTGCTAAATCATGCATTATGATAAATTTTTTTGATGTTTCGTTCTAGAAAAAAATGGTAGTGCAATGGCTTCCACGGGAGAAAGAATGGGGAGGGGAGCTGCACCGGAGAAGGGACAGGAGGTAAACCGCATCGAAGCTATTCGTCGGAGAAGAGAGGAGCCGTTGCCCCACTGGTGAAGGGCCTAGTCCAAAGACGGACAGGCTTATGGAAGAGGAGCCTCGTCGAGCCGAGGGGCCTCCCTGGGGACCTGAGCCATGAGAGGGGTGTCGCAGGAGGTTGCCGCGTGGAGGGAGGTCACATGCTGGAGGGAGGAAGTGAAGCTCGCGCTAGACGAAAACTACCAACCGTTAAAAATGAAGGTCGGGGGCCAACGCCCATGGGGATGGGGACCGAGGAGGGTGGGATTTGAGGGCCTGCCTACTTTGGGGGTTTGAGTCGAGGCTTTTGTTGGAGCTATGATTTTTACTCAGGCCCTCAAAATTAAATTTAATAATGTTTGAGAGTCCTTCTAAGATTCGTCTTATACTTCTTCGAGGAGGGAAAGAAACTTCTTTTTTGTTTTTTTAAAAGAAATCTTTTCCTCTTTGTACTCATTCCATTCAAGAGAATTTCAACCAATTTTAAGCACTAATATTTATGATATTGAATAGTACTAATATTAAATAAAATCTACACAAAAAGCACTAATATTTATGATATTGAATAGTTATCATTAGATTAATTATATGATATATTTTCATAATATTTTAAGTTTGACTCAACTTAAATATATAATTATATCTTTTTAGGACCAAGAGAGTCGGTAATATATGATGCATTATTTTTTTATTTCTTTTTTCCTAAAGGGGACACATTGAGGGATTGAACTTTTTTTTTTCCTTTTGAGGAGAGATCGAGGGATTGAACTGAATGGATGGTTTCCTTGATATCCTAAAACCTTGTTTTTTTAGGGGAGCTAACACCTTGCTTATGAAGCCCAAGAATGAAATGTCTGGCCCGACCTATACAGTATTCTCAGCACATAGTAGCTAACAATTGGCGGCCCACTAATCTTGCAAAGGAAGGAAATAGCAAACGGGCCCAAAACAAAGCTGGCAATGGCAGCAAAAGCATTTCCCCAAACGGATCGAGCGCCCATGGCTTGTCGCGGCATCTGGTCCACATGCGAAGAGCTTCTAGATACTTGTTTGAAGATGTGGATCGTGGAAGCATGCACAGTGCGGAGGAAGGATTTCAACCTTTATTCTCACACGTTTCCTGGTCTCAGACCCCTGAATGTTCAGGCGACGTGCGTGCGCTATTCTTCAATCTGTGCAGCATCAATACAAATATATTATGACCATAGGATGTTAATCTAGTGGCTGCTAGCTGTTGCCTAAAAATAAGTTAGATTTCAGGCACCTGAAATATAGCATATCTCCATGGCCGTCGCTTTGCCGCTGCCTTCGGCCTCTTGGCAGCCACACGTCCCCGCCCACCCCCCACCGAGCGTCTCTCTCCCCCCCCTTCCCCGCCGCTCGTCATCCATCGCGTAGGCACAACCTAGGCATGGAGAGGCCGCGCTTGCCACCCACACCACCGACATGCCACCACCTCACCCTGTCAGTTAGCTAGGGTTAGATATTTGGTAATGGAGATTGTGGAATTGCCTCGCACTCGTGACTTGCTTACTCGCACGGTTGGGAATTGCCAAGTCGGGGGCAAGACGTGAGGGCGCCAAGGGCCTGGTCGGAAGGGGCGGAGAAGGCGAAGGCGGTGGTCGCGCCATATGTGGGGAACATCGACTAGCAGATAGAAATGTCTGTGGACCGCCTAAAATTGCACTTTTAGTTGTAACTCATACTAACAGTTATTATTACGTAGTTTGGACAACACTATGTAAGAGGCTGCAGGAAAGCACAGAGTAAATATTCGCACGTATTTGCCATTTTACCATCACATGCGCCAACAACTATTCTGTTGTCTTTGCTTCCTGCAGGCAAAAGAAAAATCTTAAACACAGGTAAATAGGATGTGACTAAAAATGACTCGACTTATTTAGGAAGTCACTATGATGAGATAGGCAATTTTGCCAGGAGACAACGCTGCTTACAAACACATACGAAGAATAGGAAGCACCGGTGACATCTCACATGGGCATTATATCAAACACATGGTATGCATCTCACAACACATAATTTGGTTAGCAACCGATCGAGGAAATCTGCAACAAGAAGCCAATGCTTGAACGTAGTAATATCTAACAAGCAAATCCAGAAGTCACAAATCTAACCCAAATTAAAAAAAGGCAACGCAAAAAGAGAGAGAGGAGGGGCAACATCTCAAGGGTGAAACCACATATCCTCCTGCCTCCACCAACCTACGTGTGCCGTACGGTGGGTCTGTGCGTGGACGGGACCAATGCAAGCTCATTGTCCGCGCCGAATT